TTTATTATATGTATTATTATATGTATAGAATATTATGTACAGTTAAACGATAGTATTCATGTTTTCCGTTTTAATAAAATATAATTTTATCATGTCCCTTATTGTATACTTAGGAAAAATATTTATGCAAGTATAGTTTGCTACAATTATTTACTAACAATATTATTATTTATGAATTATATTTATTTTATTAAGGGTGAATAAAAATAAGAAATCAATTTATCAATACAGAAAAAGTTTATTATATCTCAACCTTCAACATCTATAKTAAATCCTACAGGAGCCTATCTATAGGCATTTATTTATACCTAAATGTTGTTATTTATTAAAATTAATAAAAACGCATTATACCGTAAACTATCGTAATGTAAAAACTCAAGGGAATAAGAAAAATTATATAGGTATTATTCTGTGATGCTAGATACTAGATACATAAAATATAAATCAAATTGAATCCAAATTCTAATATTGCAACGGAAATGTATATACCTAATACAAAATAGTTTATTAGATATATAAAAAAATTACTTTAGAGATACGATGGCCAGTGCCCAGTAGGAAGATAATTTTTGGGAACAAAGATAAGATAAATAATATATGGGTCGAACGAAATAGGAATATATAAATGAAGAGAATTGTATACGAACAAGCAAAAGCAAATAACAACCCTTAGGATAATGGACCAACAATACATAAAGAATGATTTAGAAATCATTACCATAGCAGTTTCATTGTACTATTAGCAAATAAACAATCGTTGAATCTTGTTTTAAATATGCTTAAAAGCAACAATGAAAAATAATTACATACAAATAATTTATTTTAGATTATAATTATGTTGTTGAAACGAATTATGCAAACAATATAATGCAGATACAAACATATTATAGTTTATTCAGTATTAGTATTTTATAGATTTAAATTGCTTACCTAATGTTGTGTATTTTTATTAAGTTTTCAATATTTAGCCAACTTCAATCTAAATAAAAATGTTATTTTGATTTAAAAAAATTACAATTTTACGCTATTAAAATGGCGCGTATGTCATACATATTGCGATGCAATAAAATATAATAAAAACTTTAGGGCCCAATATTATACAGGGTAATTTTTTTATCGTGAACCAGTTAATATCTCGGGAAGTATAAGGAATTTTAAAATAWTTTTTTTTTTTAACTTTCTAGATTTTACTATTTTACACTGTGTTACAATTTTGATAATTTTAACTTCCTCCCTTATTTTATAAAACACTATCAACTTTCGATTTTTAAATGACAATACCTATTTTCGATAACGAAAATCTATAAACATACTGAAAAAAATAATTTTAACGTTTACAGAATTTAATTTGAGTAATCCGTTTGCGACTTATTAATGCTTAAATATTCGTTCAATTTACTGCTACTGGGCAATTTTACAAACCCAACAGTAAAAACCAGAAGTTRCGAAATTGTACTCAATTTAACAATACCCATAACGGTCATAATCGATAATAATAAGATAGATAAACAATACTATTAAAAAAAAAAGTGTAAAATAGTAAAATCTAGAAAGTTAAAAAAAAAATTATTTTAAAATTTCTTATACTTCCCGAGACATTAACTGGTTCACGATAAAAAAAATCATCCTGTATATTAAGTATGCATTAATAATGGTTTATACACGATATAATTATTATTAATTAAGTTTTTAAAAAAATATGAACTAAATCCACTTTATTAATACAAATAAATGTTGGTACCTACCAAAGTGCATAAGAGAGTTGATAGGTCCTGTGGAACAGGCAGTGCTTTATTTGAAAACATTAATAAATCATTGAGGGAAAAACAATTCGGATTGGAATTCATTCAGATTTGTTAAGTACAGAGGATTATTGAACTTCTTTTGCCTGTCCCATCTCATGATTTTCTTGAAAACTACTAGGGAATGGACTATATTATTTTAAAATATGTTAACTGTCCAAAAATACATTTTAAAAACCACATATATTTAGCTCTAATACTCCATTTGTTTTAATTAAGTACTTAAACATTTCATCCAAGTTAGTAGCTAATAAACATTATAATAAACAAATGCTACAAGTTACAGCCTCCGTCTACCAATATGGTTGTTATTTTTCTATAGCAAAAGATATGTTTATTTTCTTACTTTAAAATTTACATTTTCAAGGCAATTTACTAATACCTATTTTTTAGGTTTAAAATTACTATATAATATCAATAATATGTAAATAATAGTTTTAAACTGTAGAAACAATTTTCATTCATCATTTAGTCAATTTCAAAAGTTTATTAAAAACTTATATTACAAAAAGGTAGTAAGAGCAGCAACACAAAYACTAAAAAAAAAAAATAATAACCACGTCACGATGATGTAGGTATTTGGGTTTATAGTTATTTTTACATATGCCATTCACAGCAGGTGTAACTACTAATAATATACTTGTATGATTTTATATAGATGTATAAGTGTATAACTAATCGTAACAAATAATTTAAAACCAATATAATAAAATAATTCTCCACATTTTGTAGATATTATCCAACATTATAGTATTATACTTCTATACATTATTTTAATTATCATTATTATAATATTTAATTTTTTTTAGTTAAATATTATATGATAAAAATAAAGATAAATCTTTGAAAGAATAAGAGCAAATAAACAGGGCCGGATTGGTTAGGCGAGCTACCGAGAAAATCTCAGTGGCCCGCTCAAAAAAATGTCGATCGTAAGTGTTTGGGCAATTATTTCATAACACAAATTTGAAKAAATTTATTTAACTCTGTGCGCTACGTCAAATCTAGATCAATTTATACATTTTTATTTGAAAAAGGCCCCTTTTAGGGCCGGTTAAAAAACTAAAACTCGGTGGGCCGATACCTTGTCCATCCGGCATTGCAAATAAATAAAGTAACATTTAGCTAGTAAACAAAGTCGTCATAAACCATTTTATATTGAGAGGTTCATATACTAATGGAAAAAATATCATACTAAACCATGCAAATATTGAATAACTCTTAAAGTTTCCTATTTGAAAGATGATAAAATTTACTATGTACGATGGATTGTGCAGATGACGTGTGTTTAAAGATTCTTGGCGCCACTAGAGAAATGCTATTAAATAATGTCCTTAAGATGACCGAGTAACGAATGGACACGTTTTATACTAAACAATATGCACATAGAACAAAATATGTAATTGAGTTCCGTAAAAAACGTTTCAAGCGAAGTTTTAATATAAATATATAGGAATTTGATGACAATGTAGAAATTGAATACAATAATAGAGGACTCTTAAACTTAATATAAATGACCAATGTAGGTGAGAATAAGGTGAGAAATTGCCAATTGGTAATGGTTACCACAGACATACTCGTATTTCATGATTTATACAGCATTTACTTTTAAATTATTTTTGTTCGATTGAATCAGTCAATAGGATATTTCACCGGAGTTTTTTAAGTTAAAAAATGTATTTTGCCGCAGAAAAATATAAATTTATGTATTATATTGTAAGTAGGTAGTACCTATTTACGAATAAAACATACAACAATTTAAAAAAATATTAGGACTAACAATCTTTCAAAACATATTTTGTCTATTTTTATTTTTAGTATAATTGCATGCTTAGTTCATAATTTGTTAAAACATAAAATGATATGCTCTACTTATAATACATCATAATATGTGGATTAAATATATAAAACAGGGCCATCTCTTCCCCAAGGAGAGTGATGCTCGACTTCTCAATTTTTGTGTTCAAGCCGTATTTGTGTAACTAGTAATTTTATAAGCCTAGGAAATTAATAAATTATAGTGACAGGACTGCATTATAGTATGCATTACTTAAATCTGGGATGCAATCAAAATGTATAGGTATCTAACTTACTCGGATGTACAGAATTTAAATATTTGACATAATTTATAACCAACTAACATGCAATATATGAAACCCTATAATAAACGCAAAAAAACATGTTTAAATAAATTATAAACCTCACCCACCTATTTATTGTTATTGCACAGCAATTGAAACAGCTATAGAGTTAATATACAAATATTTTTAATACCCAGAATAATTTATAATGGTTCATATTATTATTATTACAAGATAAAATGTATAGGTAGGTTCTTCAAATCAACTTTATTTTATTATTATTAATTATTTAAGCCATCAACGGCATCAACAACGAGATTGTTAGCCAGCGTTACTTTTTTTTTTTTTAATATTGAAGTAGTGTCGTTTGGACACTCCCTTCCATCAAGCCGTCCAGTTTTGTATATTAATCAACCATATTACTTATTGTATTGTTTATACAGATTGTATATATTTTCTTTTAATAARAAAAAAAAAATATATATATATACTTATACATCAATTGCATTACACACATTACTTAACTACTACTGGAAATTAACTTTTATGTTATGCCAATGAAACACTCTTATACTATATAATAAGTAATGACTACAATATCACGATTTACAATAAACATGAAAATATGAAATTATTTATTTTAGTTAGGTACTTCCTACTATATACATAGTAAGTAGTTATTAAATTGATGTCTTTTTAATAATGTATTTTCACTATTAATGACTCAATTCTCAACTGTATTCATAATTTTAATGTTTTGAATATTAAATAGAAACAAATAACATTTAAGAAATTAAGTAGATATTGTATATTCTTGTACTGATTGAAATCAATCTAAAATGTTAGCAATTCAACGTTGAGTCAGCTTGTTAACATATAATATTATATGAGTAATTACATACATTCTTACTTCAAAGAGGTACTATACTATGAATTATAATAATGAATATAATTTTTATTTATTTTTATAATTTATCATAATATATAACACGGGTACCTACTATGTAGTTCTACTTAAAACTTTAAAAATAATTATTATTAGTATATATACATAATCATGTTACAGTGTTTTTAATGAGTTAAAGTATTATTCATGATCATACGAATCACATTACAGGTTTCCTGGATTCGTAGACGAGACTACCGACTACTCACAGTCGGGCTATCCACATACACAGAAGATTTGCGGTTTCAATCTCTGCACCATGTTCAGACTGGGGTGAGTACACACTTTTCATACCTATAACCTATGGAAATCATTATTATATTTATATTATTCATCAGGGAAATCTACTAGCTATGTTTAAATATAAATGTACTACTATACATTATTTATTTTTTTTTTTGTTTGTTCATGATTACTGGTCTACAGTAATTGTACTCCTACAGTCGCTATACGACATAGTGATATGTGAATGTTTTTAAAGTGCTATTTTTAGACCTATAAATATAATTTCCATTGTATATATCAAACCCCGATATATTTTCTAGTTATTGAGTAGTCACTACACAGTCTTCACAATCGTATTACACATATATCTAATATCAAATATCTTGTAAATTTAATTCACCGTATTTGTGTGAATTGTTCTGATTTAATCTGCTCAAGATGATAGAAAAAATATTAACCATCAATAAACAAGTACTGATTAGTGACTTTCAATTCTCAGCAGGTATATTATTATCTCCTGAAAAAATGTATATTACAATTTACACACCTCTACATATTATTTTCACATTTTAAATAAGTAATGTACTTAGTTTAAAGTAATTAATTTATATATATATTATTTTTATTATTATTGAATTTTATGTGTGTACAAATTACTGTAGATATTAGTATATATTACCATTATCTATATGGCTATATAATATTATAATTATTATATTATATTTGAAACAGTAATTATCTTGTTCATAAATAAAATAAATATAACATGCGTCGCAAATAATAATATGTTTCATACTTTTAAGTTAATACCTATCGAAAAATAGAGTGGATTTAGTGAATAATGTATTATATAGGCGTAATGCATAAAATACATTATATATTGGTTTTTTTAGAACATTTATTTTTAATAAAATTCAACGGTAAATTTATTAGAAACTTCCAACATCTATCGAAGCTAGAGTTAGTTCATTACCTCGTAAACTGTATTGCACAAATAGTTTTTTTTTCCATTTTACAGGTGCAATGTATATAATATTCCCATGCAAACTCGTTTACCCGTCATAGCGCTATACTACCTATATAATGTATTATACTAATATGTGTAGACTTTAGGACTTAGTTATAGGTATATGAAGATAATGTTATAGTGGCAGACTAACGACTAGTTGGTCTAGTTGAATTCGCCGTCGAACAATAAAATATTTATTTTTATGATAGTATGAGCTTCACAACACTTTACCAAAAATAACCTGGTCCGTCTAACCCTTATTACCTTTATTATAGGACAAATAGGTAATCCGTTCAACATTACTCACTTGATAGCAGTAGTGTTATCCTTATCATGATTAATATATAATCAGCAGTGGTTTTGGACAAATTTTAGGGGAGGGGAATTACTAGGCAACGTTTTTACAGACAGTTTATTGTGACAACTTACTGGGTGTCCACTTTTTTTTTTAAAGTTAACAACATTTAATGAATTGAAATAGTAATCTTTATTAATTTATTAATTAATAACAAAACGAATTTATAATATCAATACAAATAACTAATTTTGTTATTAGGTGTAATTTTATAAAATAATACTTTAATGTAACATTAATAGTTATGCTTAAAAAATCAGTAAAATTTTAATTGTTTGTGTTTCCAAATTTAGCTACCATTTTTTTTTTTAAATTTAATATTGGCAATTAGTTATCGTTGTAATTTATACTAACACTTACTAAAATACAGTTTCCAAAGACAGTAACACTTTTTATTTATACAGAAATATATAACTTTGATCTTAAAAAATAATATAATTTAATTTAATCATTAAAAATTACTGTTAAACTTATTACGTAATTATAATAATATAAATGTATAGTTTAATTGTATGAACAAAATCAAAAACAAATTTTATAAAAATATTCTTAAACAAGCATTCACAAATGGTTATTAATTGAAACTGTAACATTTCCATATTTCTATATACAACTAAATATATCATATTATGTTTTAATGGAATTCAAATTTAATTTTGTAAATAAAATAACAATGTACTTACAAAAGAATAAAAGATGGGATAATAGTTTTAAAAAGTATTTCTTTTAATAAAAAGTGACATAATGACAATTGACAATGCTTTTGTGTTTTGACCACCGGCCACCGCATAATTCTGAGAATTAGCTTCCTTCCGGTCTGCGTTTATTTTAAACGTAAACAGAAGTTCAAAAGAGCACTTCTAACTTGTTTAAAACATTTTGTATTCAGTTATATAATATGATAATGGTTAATCATAATACTCTAGATTGTCATGTTACATTACGATATAATATTTTGTTAGGCAGAAACATAACTTTAAAGCAAAACACATAATAATATTCTATTCAATTTCCGAAAAAAATTACAATTATAAAATTGAATAATTTTATGTTCTGAATATTTCTACCTACCTTTTACTAGTTAAGTATATCCTACTATACCACGGTTTGCAGTACGCGACACGCGTTGGTAATTTCCCACACTAAAACTCTATTGTTTTTGTTATCTTTCATATTTTTATACACATCATACTAATTTATAGTAAAGCATACAAACACACGGGTGGGTGGGTAGTTTTGAAAATGAAAATAATTGTGTTATTCTGATTCAAGATGGACTCGCTTAAACGTAAACAGATCTTTGATTGGGTCTAAAAGTTCTAATACCTATGCCAACAGATAATATTATTATAGTAGACAACTTCACAAAATCTAGAAAATATCTAATATACAGAATAGAACAAATCTATATAGGTAGTCATTATTTTGATAATATTACGTTATCATATTGTATTCAGTTAATAATAATCCTATATTTCTATAAGACACAATAAACTTAACAGTTTTTAGAGTGCTTTTTACTGTTTGATATTACTTACCGTTCTATATATAAGACGTAACATTATTATTTAAAAATATCGTGATGGCCGTGGTATAAATCCTAAAAGTGGTGGTAAATTATTAATTTTTAACACTATTATAGATTATATCTAGTTTGAACTTGGGGTTTTTATGAATATTATGAATTTATTTAAGATTGAGGAGGTCAAGTAATATTTTTTTTAGAAGGGGAAATAATATTTTCTAAGAATTTTTCAAAGAAATTACATTTTTAGGATATAAAATGGTACGATTTTTATTTTCAATAATGGATTACCGAGATGGAAAAATGTGAATTTGATTGCTTGGTATATTTTATATATAGGTGTACTTAAATAGTGATACACATAAATTGTATCGATGTTTATTTTGCCATTGTTAATCAAGTGACTCGACATAGGTTCCACTACCTAACGCTATTATTTTGTCGGTATTTAGAACCGGTAAAATTTACTGGTGTAAAAATATTTCAATACAATATATTATATAATTAATCTCAAAATAATTCAGTTGATTTTATTATGTTTTAATATTTTTTCATCTGCAACGACCATCGGTAGTCTATGAAAATACGATTTAGATGCTGAAAATATAATACAATAATTGCTATTAGTTATTTTAATACATTTGTTTAGAGAAATATACAACTTAACTCACCTGTATGATTTAATTGAATTGAATATCTTTTTTCATAAAACAAGAAAATATTGTATTGTGTATTTGTGTTGCGGCAGAATTTCCGCAATATCAAAATTCATATTTATATCTAAATACTACTGGTCAATTATAGCGGAATTTCCGCACGAAAAAAAAAACCACTACACGACGCGATTATTCCGCGGGATTTATTTCCTCGGCGGATACCAATTTTATACCAATTTACCAATTTTAGATTTTGAGTGGAGTGATGAATGTATTGATTTTACCATGATGTGTGTTTTTATTT